TTTCCAAAGGACGTACCATTTCTACCTGAACTAAGGAAAAGAAAAGCTCATTAGCATTCTGTCCTCTCCTCGCCTCACCATGGCTCTTTTTCATAACAGTTAGTCCTACGTGTGCTGGGAAAATAATAACGATAATCTCCCCAAAGAATCTAAGGTCCTGGGGAACATTTCTCTGATTTAAATTCTAACCAGAAATGCTGGATATAACAATGTATGATGATTTCATTCTACTCTCAGAGAAAAACACAAATCATTGTCACTCCCCACTGCTTGTATCAAATCACTACAAAATACAAATCACGGATTCTGGCTGACCATTTAAACATGTTTTCTGCAGAACACTGGCTCAGTCTCATACTTTTCTCATGCTGTGTTTTCAATTCTATAAGGAGAAAGAACTCTAGACTTTACAGCAAATACATTAAAAAGTAAATAGCAGATCTGATAGATCTTATTACTGAGTTCTTTCCAGATTTGGGGTTGGAACTACTATAGGGAAATGTCAGAAATGGACTAAACTATATGTAACTATCAAAGAAGCCAATTGCCTGAGAAATGTATATATTTAAAATTTTTTAAACGTTTCACATAAGCATTGATGAATAAAACAGGCAAACATAGATATGATTATTTCCACATTGTTCTAACTTGCTAAACATTAACTTTGACCCTTTGAAATTTGACTTTGAAATCCTGGAATTTAATCACTAAAACTACAAGATTCAATAGTAAAAGCTTTCTTTAAAAAAGGATGGAAGGGAGCAGTGCCTGTGGCTCAGTGGGTAGAACTCCAGCCCCATATATCAAAGGTGATGGGTTCAAACCCGGCCCCGGCCAAACTGCAACAAAAAAGTAGTCAGGCATTATGGCAGGCACCTGTAGTCCCAGCTACTCAGGAGGCTGAGGCAAGAGAATCACCTAAGCCCAGGAATTGGAGCTGGTGTGATGCCACAGCACTCTACCAAAGGCAATGTAGTGAGACTCTGTCTCTACAAAAAAAAAAAAAAAAAAAGGGAAGGAGCTAGCTTTGACAATAATGATAAAACTAAGCAGTTTCTCACACACGCTCTTTGAATCTTTGTGAAAATCAAACTTGGAATATCAAATTTAAAAGCATAAGAAATTGTTACATTAAAAATTAGGTTCATCTATTCAATGAGAATAATAACATATACCTTTCAATTTCAGTAGATTATGAAAATATAGCGAATGCTGTTTGTGAAAATATTTCATGTCATTTATAAACCTTAGTCACTTTTAATAAGAACCCAACTTTCTAAGATACATTACTTCGGAGTCCTTAAATAAGCCTCCCTTCCCTCTGTAATAACCCTCCACACTCAGATGCAAACAACCTCTTCCTCTTGGGTTCTTTCAAAGAACCTCATGTGTGTCTCTTAAGTATTCAGTAGACTCCCAGTTATCTAGAACCCAAGCAACGCACACTCTCAAGCAACCAGCAGGTACTAGACCAAAAAAAAAAAAAAAAAATCAGACTTTGAACTTTGTACCGGTGCAACGCTCCATGTGTCACTTCCTCAGCTCCCATGTCTTCCCTGTGACGGTGTTATATGTCATTTGAAGTTACAAAAAATATGGTAGTGAAGTTGAAAAGTGTATTGACTGCCATTTAACTAAAATCATACACTGCATTTACCCAGCTGTTTTATAATATAATAAAACTATGTTATAGTAGGTGGTTTGTCTTTATTTGTCTTAATTTACTTTTAATTAGTATATTTCAATATTAATACCAAGTCAGTACAGAGTTTATGGTAGAGTATAGGATGGGGCAGAGAATTAGTTAGACCTAGTTTAACAGTAATTCTCAAGCAAGCAGAAACTACATTTATCCAGAATCAGCCAATCCTGCATAACAGGGACACGAGTGTCATAAGCTTTCTTTATCTGCGATAGTGATTAGGGTCCTATTCTCTACCTGAAAAGAGGGACATGCCATAAAATCCTTGGAAACCCACACCATGGTTTTCCTATGTATCCTCAAAGTTCCTAACAGAGCATACTACTCTAAATAAATATAGGCTGGCCATAAAGTTCACGTGCAATTTAGCCACTGCGCACAAACTTTATGGCCACCCTGTACAATACAAATAAAACAAGCTGGTGTCTCTTTAGCCCTGGGCTATAAGACTGAAGTTATTATCCGAAGAAAAGTCTCTATTTATAAAGTTTGTTATTTGTTATCCAAATAGAATACATGCTTCATACGGGCAGGGACACTATTTTTTTTTCCCCAAACTCCAAATGACAAGCATTCCACACATTCGTTAAGAAAATGAATGGATTAATGAACACATTTTTATGAGCACTCTAAGCTTTCGTCTATATCCTTAAACCGAGTCCAAATATTTCACAATTTACACAATGCAAACATTTAAACAGGACATAAAATAGAAATTGGAATCTAAGCCAGGTAAGAATTAGCAGAATAGGGATTTTCAATTAGCTAATCACATAAAAAACGAAAGAACATTTGGTGACAAGCATCAACTGAGAGTGATTCCTCCTTTGGTATTATTTATTTAAGAAATCAGTAAGTGACCAGCATGTATATAATACAGAAGACCTTTTCCTTTGCTTATTGCCCTCCTTCCCCTAAGCCTTTTTAGACATGGTCTCCTTATTGTCCCCTCCTGTGAAATTTTAATACTACATTTACACTGTATATTTACTTGTGCATATCTGTGCTTCATACATTTAAAAATTAGGATTTTTTTTAACTCTCTAAAACCCACTTCTCCCTCCGATTGAGAATGCATAGTCTTGCAGATTCTAGAACAGTGTTTCTCAAAATAGATTCCAGAAACGTGTGCTAGAGAGCCTGAAAAACTATTTTCTTTCTTTTTTTAATTGTTTTTTATTAAATCATAACTGTGTACATTGATGCATTTATAGGGTTAGTGTAGTGATTTGATACATAATGTCAAATGTTTGCATCGAACTAAGAAACACATCCATCACAATTATACTCACTTCTTAATAGTTCGGAAATGTACCATTGCATCATGCACATTAGGTGAGGTCCCCCCAATAGCCTTCCTTGTCCCATACCCCTCGTCCCCTCCCCTCTCTCTCCTCTTCCCTTCTACTTTCTGGACTATAGTTATGTTTTGCCATTCGTATGAGTGCATAGGTGATTGTATATTGATTTCATAGTAGTATTGACACATTGGACACATTTTTTTCCATTCTTGAGATACTTTACTAAGAAGAATATGTTCCAGCTCCATCCAGGTAAACATAAAAGATGTGACGTCTCCATCCTTTTTATGGCTGCATAGTATTCCATGGTGTACATATACCACAATTTGTTAATCCATTCATGGGTCGATGGACACTTG